TGGGGGGGGGGGGTGGATTTTGCAGGTGCGCGAGGAAGCACGTGGCCCCAGGAGTAGGGGAGCCTTACTCACTCCTCATCCTGAAGGCGGTCCTCCTCCTCCTGTGCCTGGAGACACCCCCGCACGGGGGCCAGACCCTCGGTGGCAGCATCATAGTTGCGGAAGCAGACAGTGAGCTTCTCATCGAACTCTTGCACCAGGTCCTCCATTGATTTGAAACTCATCATCTCGGCTGAGAAGCTCTCCAGCTCGGCCAGCGCCGGGTCTGCAGTACGTTGGGGGGTCCCCACATCGTCTCCAGGCCCCTCCTCGAACTCCTCCTCCAGGCTTACCAGGGGGGCCTCCATCCTCCTCGACACCAACGTGCCACCTTAGCTGCGGAGAGAGGGCCTGCACTCACAGGTTGCAACACCAGGGTCCCCTACCCCCTCGGCTTTCACCGTGCTGGCTGAAACCCTACTGCCAGGGATATTACACGACCAACAGCACCTCTGTAGTACCCTAGCTGTATCTCAACATCATCTTAAGTACATGCTGTTGGGATATGGCTTCATAGAAATAAGCAAATATCCTGACACTATACTAGTAGTACTTCACTAAGTAACACCAAAGTCTTGATAGTGGCCCAAAAGCTTCTTAGTGCTACACTGGTAGTATATAAAAAGTATCATAACACTCCCTTTTTTACTGAACTGGTAGTATTTTAGTAGTATCTTTATACTACATCACTATCTTAGTTATGACCTGAAAGTATCATGCTAGTAATGTGTTGAGAGTATCCTAAAAGTATGAGTGTTGCCCTGACAGTTTCCCAGAAGTATCTTACCACAATCTTTTCTATTGCCCTTGTAGTACCTTGGAAGAAACCTACTGATATCCTAGTAGCATCCTGACAGCACCCTACTAGGAAATGAATACTGTCCTGATAGCACCTTAGCAGAATAGTGGTAATATTCTGATATATCAGGATATTCAAAACAATTCAAAAAAGAAATGAGGTTGCTTGTGAAGGCCAGAGCTTTGGTGAAAATAGGAACCAAATTTAGAGATCTGTGGTTTTTCCAGACCTGAGCAGCTGCCCGGTCTAACATAGTATGTTAGTACTAACATAGTATGTTAGTAGTATCTTAGTAGTGCCTTGACAGTATTGTGAAAGTACCTCAGTGTTATCTTTGGTATATCCAAGCAGTATCCTGATAACATGAAGTTCCAAAAGGGCAGGAAAAATACCCAGGAGTCCTGGTGGACAACAAGTTGCCCACGAGCTAGCAACGTGCTCCTGTGGTCACAAGGCCAATGGTCTCCCGGGGGGCTCAAAAGAGCATGGCCCCAGGTGGGGGGAGGTCATCCTCCCCCTCTGCTCTGCTGTTCCAGACCTGAGCAGCTGCCCGGTCTAACATAGTATGTTAGTACTAACATAGTATGTTAGTAGTATCTTAGTAGTGCCTTGACAGTATTGTGAAAGTACCTCAGTGTTATCTTTGGTATATCCAAGCAGTATCCTGATAACATGAAGTTCCAAAAGGGCAGGAAAAATACCCAGGAGTCCTGGTGGACAACAAGTTGCCCACGAGCTAGCAACGTGCTCCTGTGGTCACAAGGCCAATGGTCTCCCGGGGGGCTCAAAAGAGCATGGCCCCAGGTGGGGGGAGGTCATCCTCCCCCTCTGCTCTGCTGTGGGGAGGCCACAGCTGGAGCAATGGGTCCAGTTCTGGGCCCCCCCGTTCAAGAAAGGCAGGGAACTGCTGGAAAGAGTCTAGCAGAGGCTATGAGGATGATGAGGGACTGGAGCATCTCTCTGCTGAGGAAAGGCTGAGGGACCTGGGGCTGTTCAGATGGAGAAGAGCAGACCTCATCGATGCTGAGCAACAGCTAAAGGGCGGGTGGCAAGAGGATGGGGCCAGACCCTTCTCAGTGGTGCTGGGTGACAGAAAAAGGGGCAAAGGGCACAAACTGGAGCACGGGAAATTCCATCTCAACATGAAGAAAAACTTCTTTCCTGTGAGGGTGCCAGAGCCTTGGAAGAGGCTGCCCAGAGAGATGGTGGAGTCTCCTTCTCTGGAGATATTCAAACCCTGCCTGGAAACATTCCTGTGCAACCTGCTCTGGGTGACCCTGTTCTTGCAGGGGGTTCAACAAGATGATCTCCAGAGGTCCCTTCCCATCCTTGCCATTCTGTAATTCTGCGAACATCTTAGCAGCATCCAGTACCTTTGTGCCACACTGAGAGTGTCCTAGCAGCAGCCACCGGACAGCTCTGCAGAGCCCTGAAGGTGTACCAGCAGGGGTAGTAGTATCCTGATACTATGCCAGGAGCATTCCAAATAGCATCCTAGTTAATATCCTAACAGCACCCTGATAGCATCACAGTAGTGTATGAGCAGTGTCCTGATAGAATCCTGACAGTGCTGTGATGGTACACGGCTACTCTCTGAGTAGGGTCCTGATAGTATCTTGGTAGTGCACTGTAAAACCCAGGTATTAGCTTTGTGCCATGCTACGATGCTGAAAGCATCTGAACTGTGCCTGTTGTAGTATCCTGAGAAGACCCTGCTGGTGGGTTAGCAATACTCCACTGGTACCTTTGTAAGACCATCTCAGTATCAACCCTGGAAAGATGCTGGGAGTGTCTTAGTAGTGTCTTGATGGCATCCTGGTAGTGCCGTGGTAGTACCACAGTAACATTCTCCCGGTATCCCCCTAGCATCCAGAGAGTATCTTAGTGCCACCCTGTGAAAGAGCCTTAGTGCTGTCTACAAAGTGTCCTAACAATATTTTAGTAAACTCCCAGTAGCATCTCAGCAGTCTCCCAAGAGGGTCTCAGCTGTCTCTTGACAGTATCCCACTGACCCTTCACAAGGTTACTGGGAGCATCCTAGTGGTATTGTAGCAGTAGCCCCATAGGAAGCAAACAGAAACCTAGTCATAAGCCCAGTAAAGGTGCCACTACCCCAGTGCACTCACTCAGCCTTGCCCATGGGAGAGGAGGAGAGCAGAAACGTGCCACAGCTTTTGGAGGAAAACCTGGGCAGATTGGGGCTTTGAGTTCTGTCTGTGCATGTTGCCCCCATGTGCAGCACACCCACCCTGCATCCATGCACCCTCCCCACGTCTGCATGAACCTCCACAGCTCTGTAGGATGCACCTCTTTGCACACGTGCACCCCCAGACACCTCTGGGCTGCACATACCCCCCAGTGTGTATGTGAACACACACTGTGCACGACGCATCCCATACATAAGTGCGCTGCGGGTTCGTGACCTGGTGCTTGCCTGCACCTCCGCAGATGTTCGTGCGTGCGGGGCACACGTGCAAGGGGCGCTTGCAGGTGTGTGCACGCATGGTGCACATGTGCTCTGTTGGTGCCCATATGTCAGGGGATGCACAGGCACACTGTAGGCACGTCCATACGCCTGTGCACTGTGCAGGTATTCGCCCAGCGTACGTGTGCACCCTTGTGTGTGTGTGCACGAGCCCCCTACCACGCACCATGTACCCCCACTCACCCCTCCCGACCTCCGAGGTGGTGGCGTTGGGGTGTTGCACGCACACAGCCGCACATGCTGCACCCCCAGACCTGCACGCACCCGTACCCCACCCCCGCAAACACCCCAAAATGCCTCAAAGCACC